CTCTCTCTCAAATAAATAAATAAAATCTTTAAAAAAAAAAAAAAAAAAGAATCAGAACATTCTAACTTCTGAAGGATCTGTAATTCTTGAGCCAATTAGGAAAAAAAGTCAGGCTACTCTCTAAGTGAAGTATTTCAACCTTACCCCCCTTAAATAATATGGGATAAAAATCCAAGTCCTCTACTGATACACAGGGCATGATTAAAAGATGATAAATTCCTTTTTTCACTTGCATCCAAAATACTAAACATATACAAATTCCTTTGTAAGTGCTGGGTTTATGCTTTCACGTGAAGCAACCAGAATAAATCAAGTCTTTCTGGGGCTCACTCCATTATCACTGGAGTATATAATACAGCTTCCCCTACTCTATAAAAGCCAAAAAGGTGGATATACATACAGACACCTCTTCTCCTTCAAGAAGTTCTTCAATGACAATTGTTTCTCCAGCTGCTCCATAAGCTCTATCCTTGTTGTACATTAAAAAAAAAAAAAAAAGCTTTTAATATTTACTCAATGGGCTGTTGTCATTTTTCACCATTTGTATTATGAACCAATTCACTAGTATTGTAATTTCCTCTTCCTTTTCTGAGAGCCTCAAAGGAACATATGAATGTTTCCTTTTTTTTTTCCTTAAAGTTTATTTATTTGTGGCGCCTGGCTGGCTCGGTTGGAAGAACATGTGACTCTTGATCTTGGGGTCAGGAGTTCGAGCCCCACATCAGGTGTAGAGATTACTTAAATAAACTTTAATTTTTTAGAAGTTTATTTATTTATTTAGTAATCTCTAGCCAGGTGCCCCTTATGAATGTTTCCTACTTTGACAAGTGGCAATAATGCAGAGCCAACACTGGTACAGATGAAATGAACATATCATTAACACTTTTCTGGGGATCTGGCTTTCCAGTTTCCAATCATGTAATAGAAAAAGATATTTTCACCCATACCACTTAATTCTTATGTCTGATTATAATTATGATATGCTTGCCTGCTACCTTTATACTAAAGAATGCCTTTGAAAATAGATTTCTATAAGGGTGAAAAACAACCAAGATGGATGTTAAAAGAAAAGTATATTAATTCATTGCTTCACTTCTCTTAGACCTGGGACACTAAGGACAAATACTTTTGTCTCCATGGACGGTTGAGAATTTGAATTTCTGTAGTCTGAGGATTTTCTACCTTTCCGTAGCAGACAACAAAGCATGCTAGAACTTACTTCCAAAGAATAGCATGGTGGTTTAGCCATCAGTGTAGATCTGCAAAAACCCTTTTATAGAGATGGATTTTAATACATGGTATTATAAAAAAACTTACCTGTGTGTTTGCTAGACAGGTTCTCCCTATCTTGAGCAACATTTCATAAACTTAAGGAGTATCCAACACAGTGTGACTTTTCCAGGGAACAACCTACCTGCATGATCTCCTGTACAGCCCTGCAGGCCTCTTCTGTGCTCTTGGCAACAATCACCCCTTTTCCAGCCGCAAGACCACTGGCCTTCACAACCAAAGCAGGGAAGTCTGCACTGTGAAGACAGAATAATCTTCAACATCCAATAAATCCTTAAATTCAAAAGCTTAAAGTGCTCTGAGATGTAATGATGTGCTATAGCAACCACCAAAAAGCAGAAAAAAAATTACTTATACCAACACCATTTTGATATACTTCCCACCAGGACTTTTTTTCTATGTATTCCTTTATAGTTACGATCATATGGTACATACAATTTTGCTTTTCTCACTTATCATGAGATCATACAGGCAACATCTTTGGAAGAAAAAAGCAGTAAGTATGGAAGGATCCTTAAGAACAAAGCAGTGGATTATACTCATTCCACTGAAGATGTGACTGTATAAGACCATCATAAGCATGGATACACAAGTCATTTTTGGAAGTACACAGAAGAAACTGTCCCTGGTAATTTCTTCTGTTGGGTGGGACTGGAGATCTAGAAGGAGACTTACCCAAAGTAAGTAACAAAATTGTTACTTACCCAAGGCATCTGGCTACAAGGAAATAATAACATTCATTGTCTAAGAAACCCTGTAGGATGAAGAATGAATAAATAAAGAATGAAATTGACTCAACTAAAAGGAAAACATACCAGGTAAAAGGGAGAAGTTAACAAAAAAGGGCAAAGGCATGTATCTACCATCATTCATTAATTGCTTCATATTTTTGATATAACAGAGAACAAGAATGTTTAGTCTTAAGATTTAGATCTACGTGGCAATGGCAGAAGGCCAAGTGATGATTCTTCAACTCAGTTAATTATTTATGAAAGAATCAGTATCCTTTATGTTGTAAGATGCCACTGTGTTTGTTAGTTTGACCATAAGAGGAGTGCAAGACTGCTAAACCAAATATACCTTTTCCCCTAGAAACACTTCAGTATTAAAAATATTCTTCTTTCTGCAAGGCCACAAGATTGTACAACTATACATGCACAGAATCCCATTTTATTTTGATGTTGGAAAAAGGCAACCTACACAGCATGAGTTCTCCCCCCATGATTATCTTACTATAAACCTGTGACACAAAAGTGACCTGTATATTTAAATATTCTAACAAAACAACTGCCCCTCACAGGTAGTCTTCTAGCTACCTCATTATAAAGCTGCAGGCTTCTTCAGGTTTGGTGAAAGCTCTCCACCGCGCAGTTGGGATTCCATGTCGGTCCATAAACTCTTTGGCAAATCTCTTGCTGGACTCTAACTGAGCTGCTTCTGCAGTGGGACCAAAGCATCGGACTCCTGCAGATGTCAGGTTCCCAACAATTCCTATTGACGGAAGTGAGCAGCTTTAGGTGAACCAAGGTGTCTTCTGACTCTGAAGAATCAAGATTAGACTAAATCTACACTGACATAAGGCAGATGAATAGTGGCAGAGAATAAGTTTTTCATGTTGTGTACTGGATATAAACAAAAACGTTACTAACATGTGATTCAAATCCAGCAAAAGTTATTTGTTAGAGTCAAAGACACCAAAACAGAGCAGAATATAAAAATTTAAAATATTTTCCACAGTTGCAAATGTGCTCTTTCATTCATCACATTATTGTGTCAGGGAAAAAACGTAGAATCCATAAATTTCAAGAAGGTGAAAGCTCTTTTTCCAATGTGGTATGATAGTAGAAATCCTCATCTGCAAAATGAATTGGCTTAGAGGATCTCTAAGCTCCTGTTGGCATTTCATATACTGTAACAATAAATAGAAACGAACTTTACCAGCAGCCAGAGGTGCCTCTGGTCCAACAACTATGAATTCAATTTTCTCATCTTTGCAGAACTGAGCAAGGGCAGTGTGGTCATTGATTGAGATGGCTGTGAATAGAAAAAACATCCCACCTCACTTGATACAAACATTCTTTAAATTAACAGTCATGCTGAAAAATAAGTACTATACTTTGAAATGCTTATTAACTATTGTTTTCTTTTATGGGTACAGATGACAGTTTTACCATGGGAAATTCAGAGCATACTACATTAGACTAACCAACAAAGCTCAGTCCTTGATTACTATTGCTAGTTAGATGAAAATACCGAGAAGTTTCCCAAAGAGGTATTAAAGTATCTTGACTATGGTATTCATGTCACACTGATTGTAAACAAAAAATGTCCACAGAATATACTAAGAAACTGCCTTTTAGGGGCACCTGGGTGGCTCAGTCGTTAAGCGTCTGCCTTCAGCTCAGGTCATGATCCCAGGGTCCTGGGATCGAGCCCCACATCGGGCTCCTTGCTCAGCGGGAAGCCTGCTTCTCCCTCTCCCACTCCCCCTGCTTGTGTTCCCTCTCTCGCTGTCTCTCTCTCTGTCAAAAAATAAATAAAATCTTTAAAAAAAAAAAAAAAAGAAACTGCCTTTTAATGTCATTTACTCAAGATTTATTGAGAACCACTATGTGCTAGATACTGAGTTAAGATGTTAAGATAGAGTCCCTATGCTTAGGATGCTTATATGGGAATGTTTGGTAATAAATATGCAAGCACAAACAAAAAACAACAACAGAACAAACAAAAACCAACCAAGTGTGAACAAATTAGGCAAATCTCATGATATCAGGTGAACTGAGAGGCTATTTCTGGTTGAGCTGGAAGGGTCTTTGTGCAGAGATGGGCAAGCTAAGAACTGAATGACAATTTTATTTATTTTTAAAGATTTATTTCAGAGAGAGAGCGCGCGCGCTCGGAGCACGGGGGGTGGGAGGGGTGGGAGTGGGGGGGGCATGGAGGGCAGAGGGAGAGGGGAACTCAACTCCCCGCAGAGCCCAAAGCACGGCTAGATCTCATGACCCTGAGATCATGACCTGGGCGGAAACCAAGAGTTCGATGCTCAACCTACTCAGTCACCCAGGCGTCCCCTGAATGAAGTAACCTAGCTTACTTCAATCTATAAGCCAGGAAAATTTTCTCAATGGAATTCTAAATAACTAGCAGCAGGATCAACCATATACTGATGTGTTGGTTCTATAGGCACCCTCCTGCTTCACTGTATCTGGACCACCATTCTTAAGTTGTCCAAAGTCTTAAACTACTCTGTGACATTTGTGATGTGTTGGGGTTAAGTGCAGAAAGAGTAGAGTTCTCAATCTATAGGAGCTGCCTGAGTAGGCTAAGGATGGAGTACCATGCACTCTGGGTTAGTACCTGCAAATACAACTGGGCTGAGCAGAGCCAACAACCTCCGTACAACAGAGAGTGGCAAGAGAAAGAGGACACACCTAACCTGTTGCTGCAAGTGGTAGCAGTCTCATGGCAATCCTGGGAGATTTTCATGGGCTGGCCTGTATAACATCAACTACATCTAGATAGAATGTACCAATTCTTTAATAAACACATATAATACCTCACCCACAGAGCTAAGATCCCAGGGAAGCAGATACTTTATTATTTATCTTTTTCTTTATTATTTTGATCCTATATATGCAATTATTTTCTTCCAATTTGTGGCTTGTTGGGTCTGTGTTTTCTCCATAAAGTGCCATATAGGGTACCAGGCAAGATGCACACAATGCAAAAACAAGACAGAAGTGTTCCTTGCCCTCATGTAGCTTACGTTCTAGAGCTTGTTCTAGCAAGGAAATGAAGATAGGAGATACACAATAGAAAAGATACACAAATAATAAAAGTAAATACATATAATTGTTCATGATTGGAAACAAATGAAATGGGGTGGGCATGCTTTACGTAGAAACTTTAGGAAAGACCTCTTTGAGGAGATAACACATAAACTAAGACCTGAATGATGAGGAGCCAGTCATGCTAGGGGTGGAAACAAATACCAAATTCAAGGCAGCTCTGTTTGGGAAACTGGCAGGACTGCATAGACAGAACATAGTGAAAAGAAAACAAAGAATATAAAATATTAGGTTGGAAAGTCAGGCAGAAGCCAGATTGCAAAGGGCTTTGGAAGGAATGTTAAGGAGTTTGAGTTTTATTCTAAGTACTACAGGAAGCCCCACTAAAGAATTTAATGTAGCGTAAGAACTGATCATTTTTTCACTTTTGCCAGTGAAAGAGATAAAGGTTGAGGTCTATTATGGACTCAGAATTGCCAAAACTTACATTTACTAGCACTGCTCAAGTTTTCATTTCCAAAAATACACATCAAATTGCTTTAACCTCAGCACTTGTGACTTTTTCAATGGGTGTATTTTGTAAGGTTTAAAGTAATTTAAGATAAATGCCACACTCTGAACAAGATACCTAAAATTTACAACATAAGGCAAGTATTCAAATTACCACATAAATTTTAAGGTTAAGAAAAACATTCAGATCTGAATAGCTATCGACCTTATAAAGAACAGATATAGTTGACAGTTTATCATTTACAATTATTAACAATTACTCTCCACTTTAAAAGAGGATTACCAGTATTTGAAATCTTTTCCAAGCAGGCAGTGCCTGCATTTCCTGGGGCAATCAACACATGTTTGACATGATTAGACTGTGCAAGTTTCCAGGCCAGTGTGTGTTCCCTTCCTCCACTGCCAATTACAAGTACTTGGGCTGCCATTGCTCTGTCTGCAAAGCAGGAATTCAAAAGGAAAATAAAAGCTGCAGAAAGAAAGCCACAGTTGTTATTACAGAATGCACATACTTTAGAAATCACAATTTCTAAATATTTAAATATAAATATTCCAAAGATTCATTTGTGAAAAATTAGGACTCATAATTTGAGACAACTATACTTCATAAGGATTAGGGAGGTATGCATGTATGTAATCTCTACACCTAACGTGGGTCCTGAACTCACGACCCTGAGATCAAGAGTTGCATCTCTACCAACTAAGCCAGCCAGGGGTCCCGAGGGAGGTATTTTAAAAATGAGGCAGACCTGCCTAGAGCTAGGTTAAGGAATGAGAAGGTGACTTAACCTGATTTTGGGGGGGGGGGGGGGGGGGGGGGCGGGAAATCTCCTATGAATAATCATCCTTCTTTAGGCTTCACTTTTCCACTTTTAAAAGATTTATAATCATCAAGCCTCCGTTAAACATGAATCCTAATACTGTAAATTTAGACCCAAAATTTAAAGTACCTGCTTTTAAGCCTTGTGATACTATAAATAATAGACTTTAACATTGTAAGTTGAAAGAAATATTTAAGACTGGGACCTGTAAAGGACCAGAGAGTAAATATTTTCACCTTTGAGAGTCATACAATCTCTATAAGTAACAAGTCAACTCTGCTGCTGTGTCATAAAAGCAGCAATAGACAATATAGAAATGGATTAACATGGCAATGTCCAGTAAAACCTTACATAAATAGGCAGTGGGCGGTAGGTCATAGTTTGCCTATGTTCTGCTCCAAGTGATAAGAAGCTACCAGAAGCTTATATAAAATAAGCATGAGTGTGTTTCAATAAAACTTTATGGACACTGTAATTGGAATATCTTATAATTTTCACATGTCATAAAAATATCATTCTTCCTTTTTTCCAACCATTTAACAATGCAAAAATTGTTATTTGGTGAAATGTACAAAAACAGGTGGCAGGGGGGCCATAGTTTGCTGACTCCTGATTTAAGAAGTCAGTGTAATATTTTAGGAAGTTGATAGAGAAGGCAAAATCAAACTTGAACACGTCTCACTTTGGCTCTGGCATTTGATTCTTAGCAGAATGGATGCAACACTTAACTCAAGTGAGCAGTGTGACCTTGGCTAAGCTCTTACAATCTCTAATTCAATTTCTTTACATCTTAAAAGATGGAAATAGGAGAACTTGCCTTAAGAGGCTACCTAAGGGTTAACTGAAATGACATTTTTTGGAAATGACATTTATAAACAGCTAATATAATTTCTGACACTCAGCAGTAGTAAATATTTTCATATTTTGTTACTTTTACATAAATTCATACATTAGGAACAGGAAGAAGTACTAACAGGAATGAAAAGCCAAAGGAATACTTTGTCACACTAATTTACTAATCTCTAGAAGGCATTTCATCATGTAGAAGGCAAACTGAAATCAGTAACTTCTTGTGTGATGCTAGGATTATACTTAAATCTAAGCTGATAATACAAAAAACAATTTTGGAGCATTTACTTTGTGCCAGATGCTATTCTACTTTTCACGAATTATTTCACTTAATCTTAAGAATTTTGTGAGGCAGATACTATAACCACCTCATTTTACAGAGAAGAAACTAAGGTCCAATCAGGTTAAATAACTTGCTGTAGGTCACATATCTAAGAGGAAGTAAAGCCTGGATTCCAATGTGTGCAACTGTGCTTCAGATACTCTTAACAAATGAGATTATGATCACTGAAAACTTGAAGAAAAAAAAATTGCTAACCTATTGTCTCAGAGAGGCAAAGCTATTTTAACGGAAAAGACTTGCCACGTGTATTGAAATACCTGAAATAAGCAGAGTTTTTTTTCTGAAATCTAGGGAAAAAATACACTTAATTTGAATAGGAGAGGCACTGAAGGGAAACTGTCCTAGTTACTACCGTGGATCACAGAAATAGCGTTAGCCCTCAGCCTGAAGGAATCCACACCAGGAGTGGTTAGGAGGCCTGGCCTCCAAAGTGCTTTGGTTTGGACTGGGACTGTCCCTTACTAGCTGGGATACCCTGAGGAACTTAACCTTCGTGGGCCTCAGTCATCTAAATGGGTAACTAAAAACCAGAATAAGAGCCAGGTAAAGCCACTGCAAAGGACTTGGTGAATAATATACAGCAGAAACCAATTACAAAGTGGACTAAGTAGGCTACAGACTGGGTGCATAAAGAGAAAATATGCAATTCAGGGTTAGGACCTAAAAAAGGCATAAAGCTACAAAAAGGCCCGACATTTTATAAGGCAGGGAAAGTGGAAGATCCAATGTAAACCTCAGTTAAAAGAGGTGAAAAGCACATGGCCAACTCCCACCCACGGCATTTAAAAACAAGACGAGAATTCCTATAGCCAAACCAGTTTCTACAGTTTCATCCAATTCCTGATATTAAATCCCCAAATCAAAGCATAAATGTACTTTACTTAAAACCGGAGAAGGCTTCTGCACCTGCACAGGGCGATTCTGCCGCTCGCACTTGGCACGCTCGTCGGCGCGCTCGCAGCCCGCGCGCCCGTCGCGCGCCGGAAGTCGGCCCAGCGCAATCCGGCGAGCGCCTCTCCCCGCCCGCCCCACCCCGCCCCGCGGCCGGCTGCGCCACCCCATTGGTCAGCGCGCGGCCCGTGGTGTCCGCAGCGAGGTAATCAAGTGTGATTGCCTTTGGCTCTTGTGCGCGGCCTTCGCTTACTCCACAGTAAAGCTACTAGGACCTTGCGCGTTTATCACTGTAGTATTAGGAGCCACGTAACGTCTCTATTCCTCCTCAGGAGCCTTTAGAGTTCTGTGAAAGGGGAGGGCCAAAATGCTAAACCCACGATTAGCTAATTGTTGGTAACGAGTCAGAGCCGACCAGCTACTGCGGAAAGTCTCCGACCCGCTTAGTATCCCGACGAGACTAGAATGCGCAGACTTTGAACCGCACGCTGCCTGGGACCTCTGGCCTAGTGCTTAAAAAAAGGGTGGGGGGGAAGTTATGGGGCGCCATGGGGAAAAGATGGGGGTAAAAACGTGTTCTTATTCGCATCACTGTGGAGGCGGGCACTGATTAATGCTTTTCCGGATGCATCTCCCTGCCAAAACAACTTGGCGCCACCCAGAAACGGCGGAGGCCCCGTATCAAACCACGTAGCCCTTCTTGCTTCCTTTTGTCATGCTATGTAATCTTCGGCATTTAGTAAGCTTCTTAAGGCTTCCCAAACACTGTTGGGAGACTGACAAGCTGACACAGTCGTCTCAGAAGAGACTTCTCCTGTAATGGCGCCTGCGTCAGTCACTAACATGGCGGACATAGTCGTGCGCGGCGCAAACGTCAGCACCTCTACCCCAGCCGCTCAGAAACAGCGGAGGAGAACTGGGCCGTGCTCACTGATTGGCCCAGCGGCGGAGCGTGCCGGTCTGGACGCTCCCACAGAAGCCAATCAGGACGCCGAAAGACGGAATTGGCCGCTGCGCCTCCTCCCGAGGCATGCTGGGAGCCTGGAGGACTAGCGAGGAGGAGTTGAGAGAACGGAGCGGACGCCATGGCGACCAACATCGAGCAGATTTTTAGGTCTTTCGTGGTCAGTAAATTCCGGGAAATTCAACAGGAGCTTTCCAGGTAAACGCTTCCCAGACTCTTCTGCTCCCAAGGGACCGATAGGGCCCCGTGTAGCTTTCCACAGCACCTTTTTACAGAGACGCCGTCGTTCCTCGCCTCAGGCCCCGCTACAGCCCCGCCTGGGCCTGGGATCCATTTTCCGGGCCCTCCCCCCCTCCCCCCATCCGCTCCCTCCCTTTCCAGCGAGGAACTTCGCCTTTTCCGAGGTAACCCCAGACTCTCTCTTCTAGAACCGAGTTGAGATGCTTACTCTTTTTTCCCGTTTGGTCATCTCTTCCTTTTTAGCTACTTGTAGGCCTGGTTGTGCACCAGAGACGGGCCTAGTTCCTTCCTCAGCTCCTCCTCCGCCGCCGCCGCGTTTCCCCTCCCCCCTCTCCGCCTCCGCGGATTTCGCCGGCCGGTGCCTATGACCGGAAAGGGTCTCTAACGGCCGTTTCTTGAGTAATCTTAAATCCGCTTTATTATTGCACGCTCCGGACCATTTGGGGGGTCGGGATCCTTTAATTAGATTATTTGGGCCCTGGTGTCCTGTGGCTTCCGCCAGGCAGCATTCTAATGGATTAGAAATTGAAGTTAAAGCTGCTAACAAATTAATGTTAAGGTACTTTGACGAGATGTTTGAGGTGAGGATGGAAGGGAACTTCGAATTACTAGTAATCTTTCAATTTGGCAAGTAGATAGTAGGCTTTGTGTTTAGGTCTTTTTTTTTTTTTTTTTTTGCTACTCCCGCCCCAATTGACATGTATGACCAACACGCTACTTTTGCCGTTGCTCTGACTTTACGTAGTTTACCCTTGGTTCCACAAAATTTGAACAGGAAGAGATTTCCAAAGAGCTGTTTACCGAGAAAGGAAAATGGTGTTGGTCTCGTTGTTTCGTGGTTGTCTTTGAGTATTTTTGCTTTATGTAACGTAAATATTTTTTCCGGGTTCAAATGTTTTTGCTAGTTATATTTTAAAAGTTGAGAGTAAGAGCAATACGTGAATTCGAAAACGCAATTGTAAATTAAGCGCTGAAATTAACATAGCGTTATTGGGGCAATGGTATATAGTATCGCCAAAGTCACTACTTTTGCAGGATATATTGTTTAAGTAGGAAATATATCCGCTCACTCATTTCAAGGCTGTTTAAAATTTTGTTCTATGTTAGTGATTTTAGATGATGAGAAAAGTCCAGAGGTAAAGGAATATGATTTTTCTGCAACCTTTGATAGTTTCAAGCGATGATTGTTTATTGTAATGTCTTTTATATCTTTAAAAATCAGTTTCTGTATTTGAAAAACAAGTGTTTTATTGTAAAAATTTTAGAAAAAATAAACGAGAAAGTTGAAAAGCCACCACATAATGTTCTTTATGTTCTTTCATTTTTTTCCTTGTGTGTACAGATGCACATACATATTTTGTGAAGTGTGATCTTGTTTTGTGTTGTTTTTTCACCTGATCATGAACAAGCTTACCTTTTTCACATTCTCGGTTGTCTTTTAGGACTTTTTTTAATGCCTTCATAGACTTCTGTTGTAGGAATGTATTGTTGGATATTTAGGTGGTTTGAAGTTTTCATCCCTTTTCAGTAACTGAGATAAATATCTAATAGCTGTAAGATGATTATTTTAACAGATTTTAAAGTTGCGCTTCTCTGAGTTTTAAAATGCCCTAATAATGTGATCATGTATGTGTAAGTGCTTAGGAAGAGTGTAAAAGAGCTCCAGAAACAAAAGTCTAAAAAGAATACTAGATAAACTTAGAAGAATATTTAGTCAACTAATATGTAATACATTATTGGTCTAAAAACAAAATTTTGGCTTATTTGTCATTTCAGTGAGCTATATTTGCCATATTTCCCCATCTGTTTTTACATATATCAGTTTGGGTAAGGAGGCTGATGTTTAAGTAGTTAAGGTACCTATTACATATATGTGGTGGTTAAGAGTAGGAGCTCTGGTTTTGAATACCAGCTTCACCTAATAATAGTTACGTGAACTTGAGTTAGGTTTTTTCTGTGTCATTTTCCTCATTTGTAAAATCAGAATGATACTGCTAATCACAGAGTTGTGTTAGGATTAATTGAGTTAAGAAATGTAAACCCAATGATTCTAATTAGTAGTAAATGTTAATATTACGTGACTCGTGTTAGAAAATCAAGTGTTCCCAAATAACTACTGAAATTTTTTTTTGATTTTTGACCATTGAGACTTTTATCAGGTAGTGGATCATAATTGATCTGTTTTGTTAGCTAATTTTAATTAAATTGAATGTGTTGAAATTATTTTTCAAAACAATTTTATTTACATAAAAACAGTAAAAATTACTAGGTAAATGACATGCCTCTCACGTCAAGATTTCTGGTCCTGTTAATTGAAAACGCATTAAACCATCTATGTTAACTTACTGTTATTTTAAATGTCATTTGTTTTCCATGAGTTTTTTTGAAAAGAAAATATCAGGATTCTTGATCAGTGTTACCCACTGATTGTATAAATGTATTTTTCTTTTTAAACTTTATGGTATTTCAGTAACTTTGATCAGTCTAAACTTGATCAGAGGCTACAGTTTACCCTTTTTACTCAATGTGTCCGTGGTAACCGTTCCTTGATACTGTTGATGTTGATTGTGATCCATGCACAGGTGTGGTTTTATTGTGGTTGTAGTTTCTATCATAATGTTAGAATGATATATTATACCATGTATGTTAGGTAGTATATCTTTCTTTGGATTTGTGATTGTGATCTTTATAGTTTTTCTCCCCTGAGATAAATATGCAAGTAACCCACATCTAAATCACTTTAAATTTCTGGGAATATTTTATTATTTTTTTTAAAAAGCTTAGAAAGCTGTTTTAAAGACTTTTTTTCTTAGCTTTCATAGTTCTGAAAATTAAGTGATTGTGTAAAAGTGAAAATGTACCAACTTCAGATAGGGTGAAGGAAGCACTGTTGAGGAGTATCATCTGAAAGAAATAAAAAATGTTGAAATGTATGAACAATGTAAGATTATTCTAATCAGTTGAGTTATAAATATTATATGGTGTGGTAAAAGTATTAATGAATTTTGATAACTTTTCTTGTCAAGTGGAAGAAGTGAAGGCCAGCTCAATGGTGAAACAAATACACCTAATGAAGGAAACCAGGCAGGTGATGCAGCTGCCTCTGCCAGGAGCCTCCCAAATGAAGAAATAGTTCAGAAGATAGAGGAAGTACTTTCTGGGGTCTTAGATACAGAACTACGATATAAGCCAGGTAAGCTGGAGATAATCAGCGGTCTCAAAAACTTTAAGATTTTTAAATAGTTAACAGTATTATTTTTTTACTACAGGGTATTTAAAAATTTTGCTAGTTCTAAAACTTAGTAAGTTTGAGTTTATTTATTGAAGACTTTGTTTAAAGTCTTCTCTGAAAATACAGTTGTACCTGAAACATGAGCATTGATACTTGATTGCTTTGTTGGTGGATTATAACTTTATTTTATTAAGTTTTGTAGTGACTCTCTACCAGGATTTTGAATGTGGGTTTTCATGGAACAATTGTGTAAATGTCTGTTTTGGAAGATACAGGAGCCTGGACCAAATTTGTAATGATTTTTTTTTTTTAAGATTTTATTTATTTATTAGAGAGAGAGAAACAGCATGAGAGGGGAGAGGGTCAGAGAGAGAAGCAGGCTCCCCGCTGAGCTGGGAGCCCGATGTGGGACTCCGTCCCAGGACTCCAAGACCATGACCTGAGCCGAAGGCAGTCGCTTAACCAACTGAGCCACCCAGGCGCCCCACCAAATTTGTAATGATTTTAAAACCCTGGGAGGTTTTATTTTAAAGCCCAAGCTCAGAGATTGCCTTGTTTTTGCATCTATTCCTCTTAAAAGTGCAGTGAATGGAGAGAAATCATTGCTTTGATATTTAGTATTTGGGGAATTAATTAAATAATTGAAGCTTAGAAATG